AGTCGGCGTCAAGTAGCTTGTCTACCTCATCTCTGATGGCTTTCCAATGCTCTAGTGCAAAGTTCCTCTTTTTCTATAGAACTGGCCTACAGCCCGAGTCCACGCTCATCTTGTGAGTAATGACCAAAGGCTCAATTCTAGGCATGTCAGCGGCAGACCAAGCAAAGATGTCAACATTAGATTTAAGGAAGCTTACTAGTTCAGAAAGTGTGTATGGAGGAAGGCTAAACCCGACGTGCACCGTATTCTCAAGCTCGGCATCGTCTAGGGGAATCGAAATGAGGTCCTTGGCCGGCTGGCCTCGGCTCGCTAGTTCATCCCTGAGATTGAGCCTTCCAATAGAAGGGCTTCTTTATTTTTTCCTTTTAGTGCTACCACATAGCACTGTTTGGCTGCTTGTTGGTTCCCTCGCACGACTCTGATGCTGTGCTTGGTTGGGAACTTCATGGAGAGGTGGTAGGAGGTGATGGCCACCTTGAGTGCATGAAGGGTTGGCCTCCCGATGATGGCATTGTAGGGGAAGCTGATCTTCATGACCAAGAGCTCAGTCATCCTGGTCACCTGTCGAGACTCTATCCCTACTGTGATTGGTAGGGTGATTCTTCCGGTTTGATGAGATTTTCGGAGAAGCCAACGAGTGGCACGTCAGCCAGTTGTTACCGCTCTGGCGTCAGCTTCATCTTTTCAAAAGTATCATAGAAGAGGATGTTGGCCGATGATCCACTGTCGATAAGGATCCTCTTCACCATGAAATTGGCGATGATCATCGACGCCACTAATCGTCAAGGGGTACCGAAACCCCCTTCAAGTGGTCTAAGAAGGAGATGACTTCATTTGCTTTCTACTTCTTGGGCGTTGGGCCTGGGATGTTAAGTTTCCTGGCATATGCCTTGCAAACCAAAGCCAAGGGTCCACCTGAGGCCATGGCCCCCATGATGATGTCGATGACCCCGGTTAGGTTGTTGTAATGCTACTACTGCTGTTGTGAGGACGAGGCACCGGCGTCGCCCCCCACATATTCTTTCAAGTGACCATGGTAGATGAGGGACTCAATCTCGTTTTTTATTTCATAACAATCCTAGGTATCATGGTCGGTGCCACGGTCGTACTTGCAATATTTCTTTTAGTTACCCTTCTTAGGGTTCCCCTTCATCTTTGCAGGCCACTTCACATAGTCCTTCCCTACTTACATGAGATGTGTGTTTGAGTGGAGTTGAGTGGCATGTACTTGGTGAAAGATGGGGCCGATGGCTTCTTGTCATTATCTTTGTTGTTGTTGTGGTGGCCATGGCCACAACCATCTCTATCCTTCCTCTTCTTCTTTGACCCCCCTCAGTTGGATTTGGCCTCGCCTTCTTGGCGCTCGCCGGCCGAGCCCTCCTCGGCGGTGATGTACTTTTGTGCTTTCTTCAAAAGTTCCACCTTGACCTTGGGAGGTGTCTTGGTGACAGACCACTCGAGGGGTCTGGGTTGGAGGCCATTGATTGCCGCATGCATTGATACTACGGGGTCGAGGTCTTGGACCTCGAGGTCTTCCTTCTTGAAGTGGTCGATATAGAACTGCAAGTTCTATACGCACTTTTGTCGGATGGACATGAGGGAGACGATGATCTTCTAGCACCGTTAGTTGTTGACGATGTGGAAGAGGAAGAGATTGACAAATTTCTCCCACGATCTTATGGATCAAGGTGGGAGACCAGAGAACCATCGTTGAGCTGCTCCCTTGAAGGTTGCTTGGAAAGCTCGGCACGTCAAGGCGTCGGAATATTCGTAAAGGAGCATGAGCACTCGGAAGCTTTCTAGGTGGTTGTCCAAGTCGGTGATTCCATCGTACATCTCCAAAGCGGGAGCCATAAAGTGAGGTGGGAGAGGCTCTGAGGTGATGGAGTTAATGAAGGCGGCATTCATTTTGTTGGACGAGGGGTTCTGATTGGTGGAAGCATCACCCTGACCCTCCTTCACTTGCCAAAGCTCATCTTGCATGGCACAGATCTACGCCTGTAGGTTTCCAATCCTTCGATCGATGGAATCCTAGGCCTCATCTTGGTCCTTTTGGACGCGGAATGGGTCGGACTGGTTTCTAGAGTTCTCTAACGCGGGCATGTCCTAGTTCCTCCAAGCCTGTCGATCGTGGAGGAGGTCATGGAGGTCTGGCACATATGAGGGAGAGACGTAGCGTCAGCCTCCAGCCCTCGGAGGAGGACTATATTGTCCAGAGCGCCCACCTTCATCCCGAGGGCTCTCTACTCGATAACATCATTCATGGTCCCAATGGTTGTCGCAGGAACCAATTGGATCACCCCTCCATTGGTTGAGGAGGAAGGAGGTCTTCGATGGCTTGTTGGAGTGTCGATTGCTACTGTTGGACATTGATGGTTTGACCTTCTTAGGTTTGACGGGACGCTGGACCAATGGAGCACGGGTAGAATGTCCATTGTGATGCCCTAGTCTCCCAATGGGGCAGCTACCATGTGGGTGGCCTCCTGCCGGGTGCCCCACATCGTCCAATCTCTGAGTGATGTTGTCAAGTCTATCAAGAACTATCATGAATTCGTCCATGGTGACCAGGTTTTGAGCGTTTGGAATGTTATCTTGGTTATCAGCCATTGTTCGGAAGCTTAGTAGTTTTTTGAAGCAAGTGTTCACTTAAGGGAAAGTCTTAGCAATGTTTCCCATTGATGGTGCCAATTATTGTTGCCAAGGATTGGTCGAGGGCAACAAGGTACTTTCACTTCCTTAGCCGAGGCTAGTATTCCGAGGGCTAATGAGGCCGAGGGCTTGTAGTCCGACCTGTGAAGGAGGAAGCACGTCAAAGGCCCTGGGTGTTATCTCATGGGCAAAGACTTCGGCGATCAAGTTAGTAAGGAGTCGGATGAGGCCTAAGGAGATGATGCTTAGACGAGGTCACCCAGGAGCTAGAGAGCTTGAGAGCAAACAGAGCCAAGATAGCTTATCTAGGGAGTGATACCACTTATTTATACTTAAGCTCGTTTAGAGTTGGTTAGTAGCGGATGGCCAGGCTTCCTGGCCCTGCCACATGGTGCCATCTTAGGCCTTGCCACATGAGCCTACTTCATTATATAATACTAATACTTTTTTGAAATATATAATACAAAAAAAAGAATATATATCACAAATAAAGAATTAATTTGAAATTAACTTATCTATTATTCTCAAAAAGAAAATAATTTATCTTTGATGTTGTATCGGATTGGATTCGGTTGATGGTTCCGAGCACGCCCCTTACTCCCCTACGGGCCATAATTCCCTAGTGGTGACAATGGGATTTGATCCTAAGTATTTGGATTAGCTGAATGTTTTAGCTATTTAACAGGATGTGGAACTAGTGATGAGGTTTCACACCACTAATAAATTCATGAACCCCACTGAGAAAGGTGTAAGCCCCATGTATTTTATTACTGTCGTAAAACATTATCATTGGTTCCATAGTTCGCTAAACAATCAATGCGTTCAACTAAACCTTGCTCCAGTATTTGCTATAACAAGCTCGACAAGTAGGAAAGTAGGGATATGTTTTTTTTGATAGATAAAATGCTCCCAATACTGTCCTAATTATCCATTGCATGCATACATTGGAAACATCTCCTTATCATTCATGAATCATGAAGGATGTTTTTTATGTACGACGGTTTATGACCATGGGTTAGTGAGCCAGTAAAAATTTCAGAAAAATACAGATAGGGCCAATGCAAGTTTCTGAATTCCACTACAGATATGTAAACATTCAAAATATCCTGATGATTTATGACTGTCAAATACAGAATTTAATTGAAAAACGAAAATAAATAATAGAAAATACAATTCTATGATGTTTTATTATTTTATGACTTTATCAAATATATTATTATCAGTTTGATGAAATTGGGCAAATTATTGATTCTCCCACCTTAAAAGTTGTCATTGTTTGGGGGAATTTGACACAAAATTTATAAGTAAATGAGTTCAAAATTAATTTACTTTCATTCTTGCCATAAAAAATCGTTTTCTTCTTGAAAAATAAGTGTTTAATTCCTAGCAACATTTTTTTCATTCCACTCATTTCTTCCCATATTTGTTTATTAAAAAAATTATTATTAGAAATTATGAGCAAACCCAAAACTCCAAAGCTTTTTGAGTACATTTCGGATTATGTATCTGCAATTTGACATGTTGGATGGAATGAGTTTTCTCGTGTATAACTGAAGAATAATTTTATCCGAGGGTTCAACCCAATGTCTACAAAGCGTTCATCCGGGTGGCCTGGTTGAACCATTCAACCTGGAGACTGATCATCATTCAAGTCTCATTTACCACTTGGCCCGCTGTTCAAAAAAATGTGGAACGTGAATCGCTGACCTGGACAGTCTACCTGTCAAACCGTACCACCCGGACAAAGATTCATTCATGGACTGATTTTTATATTTTTAATTAATTTTTGTATTTCTAAATATTTTATTTCTTCTCTTTATTTATAACACATCACCCATTTATAACCTTCTCTTTGTGGAAATAAAAATACGCTGTAGTTAATATCATTTCACAAAGAGAAGGTTCTAGCTTTCTGGAGGGGTTTTAAATATTTAACCTACAGTTTCATTAACAAAGAAGGCAAATTTAATCAATACATACACAGAACCATGTAATAAACAACTCTCCCATTCGTCTGCTATAAAGCAAAATGGATCAAATTGATATTTCCTTCGATCGAATTTTGAATTCCGTGTTTGTTTTAGTAGAGCCAGGGAAGAGGAAAAAAATTAGAAGCTAGTCCAAATATTTTTATAGGCATTATATAGTTAAAAGAAAAAAAAAAAAGATTACATATGTATATTATGTATTAATAAACAATTACATATATAACATAGATTTATAATAATAATTAACAAGCATTGATCTTCTCCATGGTGATATTAAGCTTCGCTTCATGAAATGATGAAACAGAGAAGCTTAAAAAACCAAAGACAAACAAGAAGAAACCAAAAACTCAAAAAGTCGAAATATACATCGGAGTGTAAAGGCCATTTGATCTAGATATTAAGCAGCCGATGGGGCAGTAAGGTAGTGAACCACGCCTGCCTCCGACAACGCCGCCCGGAATGGCTCCAAATCCACGCCCTTCGTCAGCTCTGCCTCGCCGTCCGCTATTGCCGCCGGTTTCTTGTAGTTCAATGATTCGTCGTTGTACACATCCCACCATTTCTTCACAAGCATCTTTATGTCCTCCCTATGCATGTTCTCCTCCTTCCCCGTGTACCTCCATGGCTTCGATCCCTGTTTCATTTTTTATGTAAACAAACATTCACAACCGAATTAGCTAAGAAACCAATCACATACTATTCAGTCTTCACCATGTTCAGAAACCAAGACTTTTTCTATCTAACACTCACCGCTGCACAATAGTGAACGACTTTCACTTTATCCAGATCTACGTTCTCAGGGTGTCGCCACAACATCGCCAAGACCAGGTTGTAGACCAGAGGAATGGGCTTGTAAATATCCTTGAAGAACATATTCAAGAAATCCTGCGATAAGAGAACCAAGTGCAGAATTTAATGGGGGAGCTCCATTCAGAATCAACTAACATCAATACGGTGAAAAGGGTTTTTCTTTCAATTCTTTACCTGCTCTGCAAACGAGGTGGCAGGTGTGACTTGTAGGGTTTTCAAGAGATCGTCGCAGGTAGAGAGGCTAGGCTCAAAGACGAACATGCCGGCGTTGAAGTAAAGGGACGGAGGTGGACCCAACTCAGCAGGCCACTTCACCTTGTCTGGGCACTGCTGGCAGTATCCGATCTTGAATTGGGGTGTGTTACTCCATGTTTTCTCGCAGAAACAATCCATCACTGCGTAAAAGTGGCCGCCGGGGAGATCAAACAGATGATCTATGTTGTCGTAAACTTGAATATCCGAATCCAAGTATATCATCTTGCTATATTCTACAAACTGCAAATGACACAAATCGAAACATAGCGACATACTGTGAGTGAGACATTCTGTATACTACTCAATTTTCAATTTTTGTCAGTATTCGACGGTAAGAAAAGAAGAAATCTATGCCTCAATAAAGCCGGCCATGAGCCACCACGTACGATGGACAGGTGCCTGCATGCCAACCCATGGCATTGCCATGTGTAAGCACCAAGTCGTTCATCTATCCATGGCTCCATGGCTTCCATGCACACACACACACACATACCTCCCAGATTCGCAGTTTGGAGTAGTTGATGACATAATATGCCATGGCGAATTGGGTCTGGTTTTCCGGAGGATACACCGGCTGTATTTCTCTGACAATGCATCCCTGGGATTCCAGAATCTGGCGATGCTCCTCTGGAACGTCCGACAAGACAGCTACAACGAGCGGGTAAACGCTCTTCACATTCCTCAGCCCCTTGGCCAAACCGACAGCCCCTTTATAATAGTTGCCGTCGCCTGCTAAAAACGTAACGTAAGCTCTGCTGGGTATGCTCGCAGGCTTCACAAGGCTGGCGATTTTCGCAGCAGTGTTACTGATGTTAGGGGCCATGATGAGTTTGGTATGGAAGAGAGGATCGACGAACAAATAATGAAGGATTAGAAGATTAGTAGAATAACAGACTTGCAGGGATCGAGAAAGCTTTGAAATGAGTCACGATAAGATCAAGAAAACGACTTTTGCTGTATTGAAATGAGTCACGATGATACTGGAAAGAACGTTTATAGAAAAACGATGGAGAATTCTACTTAATGGGTCGTTGTAGTACAAGGCCAGAGGTTGGACTTGGGTCAGCTTAAATAGGAAACGGGGAAGGAGTTCACCGGAGGGAATTTTCTTGAGAGGGAAAGAGCCAAAGAGGCGAAATTACTGGAAAGTTTTAAATTTCTTATTATCATCTTCCGATGAACTTATTTCTGATCGACACGTGGCAAACGTGAGAGATCCAACGGTTGGTATATTGTCGAAAGGACGAAAGGAAGTTTCTCGAATGTGCTCGCACGTGATTGCATAGAAGAGACTAGAGAGCCTAGAAGGAAGCTCTTCACCTACGGTGAAACCTGGCATTAGAACAGTGGTGGCACCGATCACTGATTAAAATGGCCGACATACCCTTCGTCTCTCCTAGACTGGTTATCACTTATCAGATATTCTGCTTGAGCAATTAATTTTGATGAGAGGTCTTCCCCTGTTCACGGGCGATGCTTTCTCAGCCGTCAAGATTTTCATCCTTGACCAATAAACTTTAAAGACAAATATACCCTTTACACTTTGTTGTCGGCATGCAACATGTTTATTGATCACATGTTGTTGATGAAGTTCTAAGATTACAACAAGGCTACTTTGGTCAAATAAAAGAAAACGAGGTAAGGGGCGTATAAATTACATCCCATAAATATGTGCCATCGGATAACGCATATTTGATCACCTTATAATTATAAGCCGCTGGATTGAACCATCATAAGGACCGATCTCAACATTATATAGTTTATGGTGGGGTAGCAGATATTAACCCTCTTTGATCGGTGAATCCGACCTCATTCCGCAGATCAGTCAACCAGGACGACTAGAGAAGCAACACGTGTCCGTGATTTCAGCTTTTTTTATTTTATATATTTTGGGTGTTTTGGCAGTTGGTCACTTGGTTGGGTCCGGGGGTGGTGGACTGGTGAGGTGGGCCGTGGGTAACCGTCAACCTTGTCATGTATCTCTTTACTGGACTTACGTAAGCAAATTGTAAAACGGGGCCATATCAAGTTTGAGGTGTAAAATTGCCTCGAAACTGTGCTTGGTGTCAGTATCTCGATTGAGGCCGTAGTTGCGCCGCGTGGCAAAAATGCATTATCCTTTACAAACCAACCAAAGGTACTCACTCTTCCCAACCCTTTATCCTTTTTATCCCATCATCAGTAATTCAGTATCACTTGATTATCAACAGTATTAAATTAATTAAGTTAATGAGGTGTAGAGTGTAGAGTGATGTATGTTTTGTTTAGTGTTAGAATTAAAACCGACTTATAATTTTAAGTGGCTCTCTTCGACACGTGGACGTGAGCGCACTCATAATTTCGCCAGCTGGCTAGAAGTTGCCAAAAACCATCAATCGAATGCCAGAAAAAAAAAAAAAAACATAAATAAAACTGTTTGGAGCACGTCTAGAACCACGAGCCGTCTGAAAGGAGGAGTTCAGGAATCAGGAGAAGGAAGAATATATTATAGGGATTTTTTTAAAAACCCCTATTATATTATATAACTATTCTTTTCCCTTTCATCCTATTCTTAATTTTGTATAGTAGTCGAACCAGACCCAGAGGAAAAACGGTTTAACCGGTTTTAAAAGATTGTTGAAAGTTGAAACCGATTCCAGACCCCTATTCTTAAATTTGGATAGTCGAATCAGATAGAGAGGAAATACGGTTTAACCGGTTTTTAGAACATTGTTAAAACCATGATTTTTAAAACCGGATAGAATTGGTCAAGTGACCGGTTCTAGTTTTCTTTAAAACTGAATTTTTGCCAAAAAACATTAATTTGATCAATAAACCACTGATTCGGGCAGTTAAACCGTTCGAACCATTCAATATTTTTGACTTTTTTTATTTTTTGTTAGAACGGACCATCTATTCTGACCGTTTGACCCAAAAACCAGACCCTAAACGATTCATTATCCAAATCGGTTTTAAAAACCTTAGTTGAAACCAATTTCAGAGTTCAGACCCCTATTCTCGTAAACCAAATGAACCCTTAAATTTTTAGACATCCTTTGACAATTCCTGGAGTAGAAGGTTTTCCTACAAATTTCTTTTTTTTTCCACTATTTTCTGATTAAACAAAACCAAAAGGCAGCATTACATGTCAAATTATGTGAAGGTCTTTTTGTCCTTTCACAAGGGATGCACCTGGTATATCAGAAACTGCATTTGCATTTAAATCACCATCCAAGTTATCATCAACAAAATAGCGATCGAACCCAGGCCGACCAGAAACAACAGCTTCCCAGAGAGCCGAGCGGCCAGACAAGACGGAGGATTGAGCCACCAGACTCCATCATGGCATTCTGAAGTAGCAAGAAAATGAGCTACTGAATTGCAGCTTCGATTCACACAAGGACAGACATGCAATCTTTACTCCTTAATAGGCTTACACGTTATATTTATTTCGAGCCTGAGTTTTACAAATATCTTAGGTAGGGTTCAGACTTAATTTATTTCGTTCCTATTAGTATCCTGCACTTTAGGGGTAATGTTGGTTCTAGAATTTTAAAATGGGATAATTTAGTATCTGAATTTTTAAAATATAACAATCAAGTACATGTTGTTAACTAGTTATTAATCAGCCGTTAACTTGCATTTTAAAAGGATATAAATACTCTTCGAGTGCCATTTAATTTTTTTTTATCAACCATTCAAACATTGACAAAAAGTTAATAATCTTAAATCCTTGCCTCTTCTATTCAAAAAAATTGGGGTCACTAAAATGCTCACTCAAACGTAACCCCAGCTTTCTTGAATGGAAAACACAAATATTTGGGACTGTTAATTTTTTGTTAACATTTAAATAGTTGATAAAAATAAATAAATAACACTTGAAGGGTATTTATGCCTTTTTAAATGCTACTTAATGGTAGGTACTCGATTGTTACGTTTTAAAATTTTGAATAGTGAATTATTACATTTTAAAGCTCTGATACCAAAGTGGCACTAGGCCCAAAATATAAGATACTAATCGAAAATTTTCTCTTATTTTTATATTGGCCAGGCCGAGGGTCAGCTTCACTTCACCCTGCAATCGTGCAGTTGTGTGTTTCCATCATCATCATTAAGCCTTGTCCTAGGAGTGGCCCGTGTAGTGTACCCATCCTCACCAATCACCATAATCACCATGTTGCTTGCCATTTTTTTGATGATGATCATCAACACATGGTTTGTGCTTTTATACAATTTACAATACATGCATCTCACAAGGCCCATTCTTAAATGGGCCATAGACCAAGGGTTTTTCTCATTTAACATCCAGAGCCATTTTAGAAACGGATTTATTTCTGGAAATATCACAAGATGTTTACGGCTGAAATTTGCTTCACGAATGGAGGATGATGAGATGTTGTGTAGCAGACAAGCAGTTGCTGAGAGACGCCATGACCACCAAAACAGAAGTTAAAATGTAAGCCAATCTGAACTAATTGCCAGATGTATCAGCAACAAACCTGTTTATTTCTGATAGAGAATACCAACAAGGCAGCAACTGCTACCGATCTATTTCTGAGGCCCTTTTGATCCCTAGACTCGGGACTCCCTACCATGTTGCCACGTTGGAGCTTGGAAAGGGGAGTAATCCAAGACAGGCAATCGAACAAACAGATTGGCCCAATTTTAACAAATTGAAATCGATGTTTGGGAGTACTTATTTTAGTATTTATTTGGGCAATTAAGCACTTATTGGTATTTGGGAAATAAGTTTGAAATAAGTGTTTATTTTAAAAGTAAGAGCCTATTTTTAAGCCCAAATTTACAGCTTTTTTTAAGTGCTTATACAATAAGCACTTATCGATTTTTTTTCTTCCAAAATTATTCTTAGTTGAATTTTAAAATACCATTTATAAAATTATCCCTAGTTGAATTTTATAAAAGTACTTTTAAGCACTTTTAAGAAGTACTTTTATAAAAGCATTTTTATAAAAACACTTTTATAAAAGTACTTTTATGAAAGCACTTTTACAAAAACACTTTTATAAAAGTACTTTTATGAAAGCACTTTTACAAAAGTATTCATAAAAGTACTTTCATAAAAGTGCTTTTATAAAAATACTTTTATAAAAGTACTTTCTTAACAGTGCTTTCAAAGAGTATATTTTGAAAATTTGAAAGAAAATGAAGGACAAAATAGTCACAAATGCTTATTAGAGAAAAAGACTATCAAACATCCAATATAAAATAAGTGCTTATTTTAAAAAACAAGCACTTGAAAACGTTGGGTACCAAATGCAAATAAGTGCTTATTTCAATAAGCACTTGTTTTTAAGCACTTATTTTTAACTCAAGCAATCCCAGACATGGCTTTAGTCTTGTAGTAATGGAACGGTGATTTTATGCAACTCTTCCAAACCTTGCCTTATACACATGGTGGGGCAAGGTGCCAACCAGCTGGTTGGTAAGGTCTCTTGCAGTTTGTAGTGGAGACTAGGGCTGTTCACGGGTCGGGTTGGGTCGGTTTATTGGGGTTTTCCCAACCGACCCGACCTGGTTGGGTTACCTGAGGTGGAAACCGAAACCGACCCACTGATAGGCAAAACCGACCTGGTCGGTTTGAGTCGGGTTGGATCGGTTTGGGTCGGGTTCGGTTTTGCTCCTGTACAAAAATGATAGAGAAGCCTAGAACTAGAAGAAAATTTATTTGACCATCATTTCAGCCATCTGAATTCAATTCAGAGTCCAAGATAAATCTTCATGTAAATCTGAATTAGTTGTTGTTCAAGAGTCCAAGATAAATCTGAATTCAATTCAGGTAAAGAATAAAATCAATAAATTCTTCATGTAAAAACAAGTGTCAAGTAAGACAAAAGTTATCAATAAAATAGAAAGTCAAACTGTTTTATAGAAAGAAGGCTGAAATATTTATATTTCAAGAAACTTTCTAAATTCTAATCTAAGTAAAAAAGGACACCTAATTCTAATTGTAATTGCCTATTTGGTGTAAAAGACTATAAAAACTAGGATAGATACAATTTAGTTAAGTAGGAACTAGAACTCTAGAAGACTAGTTAAGTAGGAACTAGCTAGAAGACTAATTGGTTC